CTAGACAGGCTTGCTTGTAGGTTGCGTGCTGGACACCGTCGACAATGTAGAGGTCTCTGAAGTTCGTTGGTTCTTTGACGTGGAACAAAAGCGTGCGCAGGAAGAAAAGTTCTGGCTGGGAAACGAAGTTGACTGGATGTACGCGACCAATTCTGCTGCAAGCATTCACGTTCTTCTGCCAAGTGCTCGCCTGGCCAATCCATCGGTAGTGCTCCGGCATTTCATGGTAATAGTGGTAGGTGACTGCCTTTCCGTTCGCTTCGTCTTCTTTCAGCGCGGTGTTATGGCGGAAGTAAGCCCTTAAGGTCGATCCCTTCTGTCCAATATCGGCAAGGTCAACTGGCGTTTGGTCCAAGTTAACGCCATCTTGTCCGGGTAGGTGAATGTCAAGTCGAACGACGGTGTGGCTTTTCGTTTGGATCTCGAAATCCTTGAATAGGCGCCAACATGCTTCAACTGGTGAGATATAGCGAGCTTCCACGTACTTCTCCGGCTCGTTGTAGATGATCGTCTGCAGGTTTTCGACGGCCTTTATCGTAGCACAATCATGGCCCTTGTTGATGTACTTGTAGAGGTATTTCACCGGTCCGATGCTGCCGACGAATTCGACATTGATGTGGCATTGATACTTCTTGAGCAGGTAGGCGTTGTACGGGACGACGTGGCGGTTGTCTGTGGTGACGCGTTGGCCGTTGCAGTCTTTCCTGTAGATGTCTTGCTCATGCGAGAATTCTGGGTTCATTGGATCCAACAACGGATTGTAGCGTCGGCGATACCTCGGCTTTTCATCGTCCACCAGCGATGTCATGTCTTGATGTTCCATTAGAAATCCCCATCTGCACTGGTCTCTTCCATGTTTGCTGACCATGCACGGAGCGCTTGGGTTCATATCACTACACGGGTTATGGATCATCAATTTCGAGATCAGTTCCTTGAGTTCCGGAACATCTTCTGGAATTTCCGCCGAGATAAAATCGTCAAGTTGTTCAGCGCTGTGAATCTTGTTCGCTGGCGACATAATCACTAATAGGTGCATGTGCGGTAAACCTCGCTTTTGGAACTCGATGGTGAAGACGTAAGCGGATGTTCTTCCTAAGATTTGATGCGTCATGATGTCTTCGACGATTTGGCGGAACTTGAGACGTGCGACTCTTGCAACGATGTCTGGACGGGTTAGAGCCAACAGGCTTTCCGGAATTGCGGCGTTGAATTCATTGCGTATCGCTGACAGGAGTTCTGGCAACACTGCGGATTGCAGGTAACGGTGATAAAAAATTCAGGCGATCCAAATCTTCGCACAAATGCCATGGAGTCTTCGAAATTCTCGGTGTAACAGAGCGTTGATCCGGGAAAAGATGACGGTAAGATGGTTGTTTCGCCAATTGCAGCATCTCATCTTTTTGCGCAGCCAAGCTTCTGAGCATGTTGTGAACTCCGGCGTATTTCTCAGCTTGAATTTCGCGCTGATGGCTCTTTATCCACTGTATGCGATCTCTTTCGACGCGAATGTAGGTGTCGACCACGTATTGCTGGAGTAAGCGTCTGCCAAAGTGAAGTGCATTAAACTCGACCAATCGTTGATCTATTCCTGCATTTGTGCAATCGATCGGGAGTGGCTTGGCATAATTCGGACGGTAGGCGAGTCGGTAACAGGCTAATTCCGCGCGTGTAATATGATTTCTTGATGGATAAGGCGTGTGCAGCGGCATTCCAACATAGAATGCAAAAGTTCCTCTCGGGTTGAAAAGCGGGTAGGTAAAAGGCTCGACGCGACCATCGATGTTGCTTAGCTGCGTGATTTTTTTCCGCGTTCTCGCATGACCATTTCATTCTCTGGGATGCTTTGATCGGCGTTGAGAGTCAAGACTGCGGCTATTTCGTTACAACTGGTGCGTTAAATCGTCGAGGATCGTCGCCTTCACTGTTTGTTAAGACGAGGTGGACATTGGGCGGTTGTACTCCGGCTGCGATTGCGCGTTGGTTGGTTTCTTCGATCACTTCTCTCATCATCATAAACGATTGGGCGAACGGGTTGTTAAAGCGCATGATCTCCTCGAGTAGTTGCAATAGTTCTTGGCTTAACTCTCGGTTGAGCTCAGATCGCGCAGCTGTAGCCTCGTCCGGGTCCATGAAGTACATTTGGGCAAACTTCGGCTGTTCAAATCCACCTTGCGGGTCTTGAGTCGGGCGCGTTGCCAGGTTGATCTTGTGATGGACTTGACCGCCGGCGATAAACGCGTAGATTCCATGTTGATTGACGGTTCTGTCGTCGTCGACTTTGAATGAGGCAAGTGCAAAGCAGGCGTCGATGTTGCGGATCCTTCTGTGGAATTCTTCCGATAGGCGGTGTTGTCGTGCAAATAGAAGCGCTAATTCGTTTGGAAATTCGGGCATTGGTAGTTTGATTCTTCCATGTAAGCAGCAGTCGCCAAATGAATCTACGTGTATTTTGTTCTTCACTCTTTCTTCTGGGAAATGCAAAGCGCCATCGTGGATGCAAGCGACGTTAAATGGACCAAGACTTTGATATTCCACGTCGGAAGTTGCAGCATTTTTGTAGGTTGACGCAGGCCGAGATTTCGCAGCTCTACGGAGTCTTTCATTACGGCGGCGTTGTTCCTCTAGGCGAATGTTGCGGCCCCTCATTGTTTCGTTTTTTCGTCTGCGTCTTTCATAATCGCGGTATTTTACTCGTTGAGATGCATTAAGTTCCATCAATATATCCGAGATTCGTTCCTTGCTACGCTGCTTGACTGCTCTTGTCGGGCGCAACGGCGTTATCATCGGGTCTTGGATATTCAAAGCGTGCATATTGGTCGAAGATGTGAAAGATGCGGCTTCAGATGGTCCCGACATGTTCAATTGGTCACTGTTCACAACGAATTCGTAAATTTGCTTCCGTTCATCCGCTTCTTGAAAATTCTTGTCCAGGAAAAGGCGTCGATGAGAGAGGTATTGTCGAGCATAAAAGACGATGTAAACTCCGCAGGAAGACGCGTCATCTTGGTGGTTGTAAGCGTTGCGAGGTTTCACGATGCATCCTTTCAGCTTTTCATTCGTAACAACGGTATTCAAAACGTGTCGCAGTATTTTTCTCAAAACAGCATCGATGGGCAGCGGGTTGTCGACTGGATCGCAGACTAATAGTTGACGTTCTCCATAGCTTGCTTCGTAAATTCCTAGCATCCAGTGCTCGCCTCTATCCATTTGAGCTCTCTTGTGAATGGGAATGAGTAGCACGTCGAATCCTTGTTGAACGCCGTATAGATAGTTGGAAGCCTTGTTCTGGTCGCTGATATCGTTGAGAAGAGCCATTCCTTCATAAGCGCCATCCGCTGTTGTAACGTAGAAGCGTGCGACAAATTCAGGGTGAAGTACGGCAACTTTGACGGTCGGGTAAGCTTGTTCGGCGTAATGGAGAAGCATTCTGACAATGACGGTATCTTCTAGTTGTCCATTTGCGGGTAGAATTGAGTTGATCGCTTGTTGTTCCAAAATTCCGGCTCCTTGAAGAATTTCATGTAGAGGTGCGTTCTGCATGTTGAAAATGTAGCTTGAAATCTGATGAATGTTGAAATGTCGGACTTTGTTGACGGTGATTTTAACACAAAAGTTAAACTTTTCTCCACTTTGATAAATGTAAACTAATGCGAACCTTACAATTAAATTATTAATTCCTTCGTATATTATTGGTTTAAGTTGTCGAAAATTAATATTTCAATTGTAAGGTTCGCATTAGCATACATTTATAAGAGTGGAGAAAAGTATCTATAGCCATTATGGCGAACTAATAAAGTTTGAAAATATTCTATCTGTAACTCCGAACTGCTCAACCGTAGCGTTTCAAAACCGGCGCCAATCGATACCTCGTGGCCAAAAACCCCAGACCCCCAAGTTTACCGGAGTTTATTAATTCTGGGGCGATTTTCGACTTGGCAACCATTCCTCGTATTATAGTATAAGATTATCATTATCATCATCTTATCAGTATTGAATACGAGTTAAAGCTATCATATTTTATCTAGATTCACTATGATTAAGATACATTCTCTGATTATTCATAATTATTATTTATTGTATGGTAAGTACTTTATTTTAATAAATATTTCAAAAAAATAACATTCCAATTTTATCGATTGGATAAAGTAAAACAAACCAACTGCGAGGTCTATAAGATTAAAAAATAAATATGTATTTTACTGAATTACTACTAAAGTACTTAATTTGTATTCAATTTGATTCGTTAATAGTTTTATATTTTATTAATGAGTAATAATGTTAATAACATATCTTTAAAGACGATAATACTCGCCATAATGGTTAGTTTATTGAACTAGGCATATTATTCTTTTATTAATTATAACAAAGCAATTCAAATTTTCAATATAGATAATTCTAGATATATTTCTTCAAAACTAAAAAAGCAAAATTCCACATAAGCAAGCAAAATAATAAGCAATTTAAAATATAACGAGACAATTTTTGTTTAGCATTTTCTTATTATAACATTTTATCGTACTTAGTGTCGTTTGGAGTCCATTTATCTCTGCTAATTCAATGCAGCCATATTTTCCGTCGTTCTTCATTACTTTACCGAACAATCGAGCGATATAACTTAAAGCTCAATTTTGTCTTTTTAACAACCTGTGCAACAACCTGCATAATTAATTTAAAAGTATGAGACAAATAATGTAAAAATAGAAGCGAAAACAGATTGAGTGCGATGACACTTCTCCGTTCTAACTAGTCAACAAAATGGCGTCTGTTTACCTATGTAATCGGAGACAACCAATCAAAATCGAAGGCGGCACAAAGATCGGCTCGGAAAAGAGTGGCGCTACTTAAACTAGGTAATCGAATGCTTTATTTTCACTTATATAAGCAGGCTTTTGTGCTCAAACTATTGTCAAGCAGAAGAACAACAAATCACGGAAAGATAGTACGAAGATACATCAAGAATTAAGTATCGTCCTTCCGCCAAATGTTTTGAAGAGTGGAGGTAGAGGGTTTGAAATCCGACGTAAACCCTGGATATATTTCAGTGCTGTACTTTTCTAATTTATGCTATCCGTCCTTCAGCTTGAAAAGAGCTTAAAAAATATTCTTTGCATTGAGCACGCAAACCTGCATATGTATTGAAACAAGCAAATGTCAAGCGTCAACCATGGTTGCAGCTGAGCTCGAATCTAGCTGCCTCCACACTTTGAAGTCATTTTAGATATATTAGAACATAAAATTCGGCATTGAGTAATAGTAGTTTATCACGTTTCACTATAGGCCGACCAGGTAACCGAGAGGTTAGCGTGTCTGACTGCGCAGCCGATGGTTGCGGGTTCGAATCCCGCTCAGGGCATGGATGATTCTTTCTCTCTCTCTCTCCTTCTCTGTGTTCTATGTCCTTTCTTCTGTGTGACTCTGTGAATGTAACCCCCCCCCCCCTACAAACGGGTTTGTGGTTGTATGACTTAGGCGACGCTACTTCACCGCCGTGGCTTAGCCATAGGTGCTTACTGGATAATGATAAGAGAATAGCAATTCTGGTCTTTCTGAGGCCAATGGGAAATAGACTCAAGTACCCGCCATTAACCAAAAAAAAAAGAAGCAACGTTTCACTAGAGTTGCTGTTGTTGTTACTTTACGTCGCACTAGAGCTGCACAATGGGCTATTGGCGACGGTCTGGGAAACATCCCGGAGGATGATCCGAAGACATGCCATCACAATTTTGATCCTTTGCGGAAGGGATGGCACCCCCGCTTCGGTAGCTCGACGACCTGCGCGCGAAGTCAAGCACTTTACGGTAGCACAGTTTAACGAGAACCAATACCGCACACCCTCGGTCCCTACGCAGACTGATCCAAGTGGTCACCCACCCGCACACTGACCGTAGCCAGTGATGCTTGACTTCGGTGATCTGCTGGGAACCGTGTCTTAACGATCAGTCCACTGCGGGACTCACTAGAGTTGCATACTAGGTTATTGGTGACGGTCTGGGAAATATCCTTGCGAATGATCTAAAGACATGGCATCACAATTTTGATCCTCCACAAAGGGAAAGCTTTGATAGCCCAATGACCTAGCCGAGCATTCTACGGTAAAACAATTTAACAACT